TTATTTAGTTTTAACTACAGTTAGAGTAAGAGGTAGATGGGAAAAGATTAAAATGGCAACAACAAGCAAGAGGGAGGTGAAAGTGTATAAACTAAGGGAGGAGGAAGTTCAGGTGAGATATAAGCAACTATTGGCAGAAAGGTGGGCTGGTGCAAGTGTGAGTAGTGGGGGGGGGGGGGGGGGGTTGAAGAGGGTTGGAATAGTTTTAAAAATGCAGCACAGTACACGTATTAGAATGTGGGGCAGAAGTTTGTGGTTATAGGAGAGTGGGTGCAGGAGGAAAGAGGAGTGACTGGTGGAATGATGAAGTAAAGGGTGTGATAAAAGAGAAAAAGCTAGCTTATGAGAGGTTTTTACAAAGCAGAAGTGTTATAAGAAGAGTAGAGTATATGGAGAGTAAAAGAAAGGTAAAGAGAGTGGTGAGAGAGTGCAAAAGGAGAGCAGATGATAGAGTGGGAAAGGCACTATCAAGAAATTTTAATAAAAATAAGAAAAAAAATTTGGAGTTAAACAAGTTAAGAAAGCCTAGAGAACGAATGGATTTGTCAGTTAAAAACAGAGTAGGGGAGTTAGTAGATGGGGAGATGGAGGTTTTGGGTAGATGGCGAGAATATTTTGAGGAACTTTTAAATGTCGATGAAGAAAGGAAAGCAGTAATTTCATGCACTGGCCAGGGAGGTATACCATCTTTTAGGAGTGAAAAAGAACAGGATGCGAGTGTGGGGGAGGTGCGTGAGACCTTACGTAGAATGAAAGGGGGTAAAGCAGCTGGAAATGACGGGATCATGACAGAAATGTTAAAAGCAGGGGGGGATATAGTGTTGGAGTGGTTGGTATTTTTGTTTAATAAATGTATGAAAGAGAGGAAGGTACCTAGGGATTTGCAGAGAGTATGTATAGTTCCTTTATATAAAGGGAAGGGGGACAAAAGAGATTGTAAAAATTATAGAGGAATAAGTTTACTGAGTATACCAGGAAACGTGTACGGTAGGGTTATAATTGAAAGAATTAGAGATAAGACAGAATGTAAGATTGTGGATGAGCAAGGAGGTTTCAGAGTGGGTAGGATATGTGTAGATAAAGTGTTTACATTGAAGCATATACATGAGCAGTATTTACATAAAGGTAGGGAAGTTTTTATTGCATTTATGGATTTAGAAAAGGCATATGATACAGTGGATAGGGGAGCAATGTGGCAGATGTTGCAAGTATTTTGGAACAGGTGGTAAGTTACTAAATGCTATAATGAGTTTTTATGAGGATAGTGAGGCTCAGGTTAGGGTGTGTAGAAGAGAGAGAGACTACTTCCCAGTAAAAGTAGGTCTTAGACAGGGATGTGTAATATCACCATGGCTGTTTAATATATTTATAGATGGGGTTGTAAAAGAAGTAAATGCTAGGGTGTTTGGGAGAGGGGTGGGATTTAATTATGGGGAATCAAATACAAAATGGGAATTGACACAGTTGCTTTTTGCTGATGATACTGTGCTTATGGGAGATTCTAAAGAAAAATTGCAAAGGTTAGTGGATGAGTTTGAGAGTGTGTGTAAATGTACAAAGTTGAAAGTGAACATAGAAAAGAGTAAGGTGATGAGGGAGATGGTCGACTTGTTGAAAAAAAAAAAAAAAAAAAAAGTTAGATATCAAATTGGGGAGGAGTAGTATGGAAGAGAAGTAAATGCGAGGGTCTTGGCAAGAGGCGTGGAGTTAAAAGATAAAGAATCACACATAAAGTGGGAGTTGTCACATCTGCTCTTTGCTGATGACACTGTGCTCTTGGGAGATTCTGAAGAGAAGTTGCAGAGATTGGTGGATGAATTTGGTAGGGTGTGCAAAAGAAGAAAATTAAAGGTGAATACAGGAAAGAGTAAGGTTATGAGGATAACAAAAAGATTAGGTGATGAAAGATTGAATATCAGATTGGAGGGAGAGAGTATGGAGGAGGTGAATGTATTCAGATATTTGGGAGTGGACATGTCAGCGGATGGGTCTATGAAAGATGAGGTGAATCATAGAATTGATGAGGGGAAAAGAGTGAGTGGTGCACTTAGGAGTCTGTGAAGACAAAGAACGTTGTCCTTGGAGGCAAAGAGGGGAATGTATGTGAGTATAGTTTTACCAATGCTCTTATATGGGTGGGAGGCATGGGTGATGAATGTTGCAGCGAGGAGAAGGCTGGAGGCAGTGGAGATGTCATGTCTGAGGGCAATGTGTGGTGTGAATATAATGCAGAGAATTCGTAGTTTGGAAGTTAGGAGGAGGTGCGGGATTACCAAAACCGTTGTCCAGAGGGCTGAGGAAGGGTTGTTTAGGTGGTTCGGACATGTAGAGAGAATGAAGCGAAACAGAATGACTTCAAGAGTGTATCAGTCTGTAGTGGAAGGAAGGCGGGGTAGGGGTCGGCCTAGGAAAGGTTGGAGAGAGGGGGTAAAGGAGGTTTTGTGTGCGAGGGGCTTGGACTTCCAGCAGGCATGCGTGAGCGTGTTTGATAGGAGTGAATGGAGACAAATGGTTTTTAATACTTGACGTGCTGTTGGAGTGTGAGCAAAGTAACATTTATGAAGGGGTTCAGGGAAACCGGCAGGCTGGACTTAAGTCCTGGAGATGGGAAGTACAGTGCCTGCACTCTGAAGGAGGGGTGTTAATGTTGCAGTTTAAAAACTGTAGTGTAAAGCACCCTTCTGGCAAGACAGTGATGGAGTGAATGATGGTGAAAGTTTTTCTTTTTCGGGCCACCCTGCCCTGGTGGGAATCGGCCAGTGTGATAATAAAAAAAAAAAATAGTATGGAAGAAGTGAATGTTTTCAGATACTTGGGAGTTGACGTGTCGGCAGATGGATTTATGAAGGATGAGGTTATTCATAGAACTGATGAGGGAAAAAAAGGCGAGTGGTGCGTTCAGGTATATGTGGAGACAAAAAATGTTATCTATGGAGGCAAAGAAGGGAATGTATGAAAGTATAGTATAGTACCAACACTCTTATATGGATGTGAGAAGGTGGTTGGAGGCAGTGGAGATGTCCTGTCTAAGAGCAATGTGTGGTGTAAATATTATGCAGAAAATTCGATGTGTGGAAATTAGGAGAAGGTGTGGAGTTAATAAAAGTATTAGTCAGAGGGCTGAAGAGGGTTTGTAGACGTGGTTTGGTCATTTAGAGAATGGATCAAAGTAGAATGACATTGAGAGCTTATAAATCTGTAGGGGAAGGAAGGCGGGGTAGGGGTTGTCCTCGAAAAGGTTGGAGGGGGTAAAGGAGGTTTTGTGGGCGAGGGGTTTTATGTAGCCGGACTTGAGTCCTGGAAATGGGAAGTACAATGCCTGCACTCTAAAGGAGGGGTTCAGGATACTAGCAGTTTGGAGGGATATGTTGTGTATCTTTATAGGTATATGCTTCTAAGGTGTTGTGTTCTGAGCACCTCTGCAAAAACAGTGATTATGTATGAGCGAGGTGAAAGTGTTGAATGATGATGAACGTATTTTCTTTTTGTGGATTTTCTTTATTTTTTTGGTCACCCTGCCTTCGGTGGGAGACGGCCGACTTGTTAAAAAAAAAAAAAATGTATGTGTAGTGTGACCTAAGTGTAAGTAGAAGTAGCAAGACGTACCTGAAACCTTGCATGTTCATGAGACAGAAAAATGGACCCCAGCAATCCTATCATCATGTAAAACAATTACAGCCTTTTGTTTTACACTCACTTGGCAGGATGGTAGTACCTCCCTGGGCAGTTGCTGTCTACAAACCTACTACCTAGAATATATATATTCTTCTTTCTTTCAACGTACCAGCCATATCCCACTGAGGTGGTGGCCAAAAGGAAAAAACGAAAGTTTCTCCTTTTAAATTTAGTAATATATACAGGATTTTGGCAGTTTGGAGGGATATGTTGTGTATCTTTATACGTATATGCTTCTAAACTGTTGTATTCTGAGCACCTCTGCAAAAGCAGTGATAATGTGTGAGTGTGGTGAAAGTGTTGAATGATGATGAAAGTATTTTCTTTTTGGGGATTTTCTTTCTTTTTTGGGTCACCTTGCCTTGGTGGGAGACAGCCGACTTGTTGAAAAAAAAAAAAAAAAAAAATACAGGATTTACGAAGGATGAGGTTAATCATAGAATTGATGAGGGATAAAAGGTGAGTGGTGCATTGAGGTATATGTGGAAACAAAGAATGTTATCTATGGAGGCAAAGAGGGGAATGCATGAAAGTATAGTGGTACCAACCCTCTTATATGGGTGTGAAGCTTAGGTTGTAAATGCTGCAGCGAGGAGGAGGTTGGAGGCAGTGGAGATGTCCTGTCTAAGGGCAATGTGTGGTGTAAATATTATGCAGAAAATTCGGAGTGTGGAAATTAGAAAGTGTGGAGTTAATAAAAGTATTAGTCAGAGGGCAGAAGAGGGGTTGTTGAGGTGGTTTGGTCATTTAGAGAGAATGGATCAAAGTAGAATGACATGGAGAGCATATAAATCTGTAGGGGAAGGAAGGCAGGGTAGGGGTCATCCTTGAAAGGGTTGGAGGGAGAGAGTAAAGGAGGTTTTGTGGGCAAGGGGCTTGGACTTCCAGCAAGCGTGCATGAGCGTGTTTGATAGGAGTGAATACAGACGAATGGTATTTGGGACCAGACGAGCTGTTGGAGTGTGAGCAGGGTAATATTTAGTGAAGGGATTCAGGGAAACCGGTTATTTTTATATAGCTGGACTTGAGTCTTGGAAATGGGAAGTACAATGCCTGCACCCTAAAGGAGGGGTTTGGGATGTTGGCAGTTTGGAGGGATATGTTGTGTATCTTTATATGTACATGTATATGCTTCTAGACTGTTGTGTTCTGAGCACTTCTGCAAAAGCAGTCATTATGTGTGAGTGAGGTGAAAGTGTTGAATGATGATTTAAAGTATTTTCTTTTTGGGGATTTTCTTTCTTTTTGGGTCACCCTGCGTCGGTGGGAGACGGCCAACTTGTTAAAAAAAAAAATTATGATAGAAACTTTCAAATACTACTCACAAGGCTATCTGCAACTTGCTCCAGGAAATCCTGCAACGTGGCATTTTTTTTTACCCTGAATATTCTATAATTGGCCTTGTCTGGATCATAAAGGTCATTTCCTTGATGACCAGAAAATGAATCCTCCAGGATGACCTGCAAATAGAAAGCAAGCTTGACAGAATTATATCAAACTGTAAAATTACAATTACTGTATATATTTTTAACTAAATATATTTAATATAAACAGTCCAACAAAAATCAACTTCCCATTCAAAGATCCTTTGCTTTTATAATAGTAAAACATTACAATCGTCATCATACATTTTGTGAATTACAAAATTTCTAACTACTCCATCAATTTTTTATCTTCAACCAAAAATATATAAATTTTTTGTTGCATTTTTGGCTGCACAGTTTTTTAAATTAATAATATCTAACACGAATTTTTTAACAGAAGTTCATTCATTTTCTTTTATCTCCTACTCATTGCAATTCCCTCATCCCCTTTAGCTTAATGTCACTTAGTGCTAAAACATTCAATTTTCTTTCAGCCCTAACATCAACAACCATTTCTTTTGAAACAATCGTATAAATTTCGTCTATATTCAGAAGCCTATCTTAGAATTTTTTTTTTTTTTTTTTAATGAACTGTGTGAAGGAAAACTAACAATCAGCCCCTCGTTTAAGGACTTTTTTCAATATATTGCCTATAGTATAAAGTATACATAAATAAATTTCACTGAGGAAAATAAGCAGTGACAATGAATGATTTATGGAAATACTGGGGTAAGGGTGACCCAAAAAAAGAAACGTTTTCGCCATCATTCACAATATCACTGTCTTGCCAGAAGAACGCAGATATGACAGTTTAAATGTTACTCTAAACAGCAAATATCCCAAAAGCTTCCCTTAGAGTGCAGGTACTGTACTTTCCTTTCTCCTTGACAAGTCTGGCTAACCAGTTTCCCTGAATCCCTTCATAAAATATTACCCTGGTCACTCAACAGCTCATCAAGTCCTAAAAACCATATGCCTCCATTCACTCCTAACACACTCACACGTGCCTGCTGTATGTCCAAGCCCTTGCACACAAAACCTCCTTTACCCCCTCCTTCCACCCTTTCCTGGGATGACCCCTACCCCACCTTCCCTCTACTGCACATTTATACACCCTCCAAGTCATCCTATTTTGCTCCATCCTCTCTAAATCACCAAACCACCTCAACAACCCCTCCTCAGCCCTGTGAATAATACTTTTAATAACTCTGCACTTCCTCTTAGTTTTCACATTGAGAATTCTCTACATAATATATGAAAATAAAAAAGTAGGTTGAAAAATAGTCAAAAACACAAAACACATCTAACCTGGATATTCATATATAAATGAGCCTCATTTCTCTCTTTGCGACGTATCATTTCAATACGCTTTTCTTCTTGTAGTCGGTCAATAAGCTCTTGGGGAATGTCCTCCTCTGTTACTTCCTGTAGAACAGTTCTGAGACAACTCTCTCTTATGTACACAAGCATGTATGCATTAGTACAGTGCTTCACTGTTAGGTTGAGGTCATCTTCATGACCACCAAAATTGTGATCAATGGCTTCCTGTTTACTGCACCTCGATACAACATCGTCATCAAATTTACACCACTGTAAAGAATACAAATTTAAAATTAAATATATAAACTCGTATCTTACGAACATGTAATGATATAATTTTACCATTGTACTACTAAGGAATATGAGCATATGTAAAATTTGTTTTCACCTTGAAGAATTTTTTTTTTTTTTTAACTAGTCGGCAGTCTCCCACCGAGGCAGGGTGACCCAAAAAGAAAGAAAATCCCAAAAAAGAAAATACTTTCATCATCATTCAACACTTTCACCTCACTCACATATAATCACTGTTTTTGCTGAGGTGCCCAGGATACAACAGTTTAGAAGTATATATGTATAAAAATACACAATATATCCCTCCAAACTGCCAATATCCCAAACCCCTCTTTTAGAGTACAGACATTGTACTTCCCATTTCCAGGACTCAAGTCCGGTTATATAAAATAACCGGTTTCCCTGAATCCCTTCACTAAATATTACCCTGCTCACACTCCAACAGCTCGTCAGGTTCCAAATACCATTTGTCACCATTCACTCCTATCTAACATGCTCACGCATGCTTTGCTGGAAGTCCAAACCCCTCGCCCACAACACCTCCTTTACCCCCTCCATCCAACCTTTTCGAGGACGACCGACCCCTACCCCGCCTTCCTTCTCCTACAGATTTATACGCTCTCCATAAGTGTCCGGGGCCCAAAACTGTTCAACAGCCTCCCATCAAGCATTAGGGGAATTGCCAATAAACCCCTGGCTGCCTTCAAGAGAGAGCTGGACAGATACCTAAAGTCAGTGCTGGATCAGCCGGGCTGTGGCTCGTACGTTGGACTGCGTGCGGCCAGCAGTAACAGCCTAGTTGATCAGGCCCTGATCCATCGGGAGGCCTGGTCATGGACCGGGCCGCGGGGGCGTTGATCCCCGGAATAACCTCCAGGTAACCATTTCATTCTACTTTGATCCATTCTCTCTAAATGATCAAACCACCTCTACAAACCCTCTTCAGCCCTCTGACTAATACTTTTATTAACTCCACACCTAATGTCCACACTCCGAATTTTCTGCATAATATTTACACCACACATTGCCCTTAGTAGGTTGGTAGACAGCAACCACCCAGGGAAGTACTACCGTCCTGCCAGATGACTGTGAAACAGAAACCTGTAACTGTTTTGCATGATGGTAGGATTGCTGGTTTCTTTTTCTGTCTCATAAACACGCTAGATAACAGGGATATCTTGCTACTCCTACTTACACTTTGGTCACACTTCACAGACACGCACATGCATATATATATACATACATCTAGGTTTTTCTCCCTTTTTCTAAATAGCTCTTGTTCTTCCTTATTTCTTCTATTGTCCATGGGGAAGTGGAAAAGAATCTTTCCTCCGTAAGCCATGCGTGTCGTATGAGGAGACTAAAGTGCCGGGAGCAATGGGCTAGTAACCCCTTCTCCTGTAGACATTTACTAAAAAAGAGAAGAAGAAAAATTTTATAAAACTGGGATGCTTGAATGTGCGTGGATGTAGTGCGGATGACAAGAAACAGATGATTGCTGATGTTATGAATGAAAAGAAGTTGGACGTCCTGGCCCTAAGCAAAACAAAGCTGAAGGGGGTAGGGGAGTTAGAGAGTTAGAGCAAAGGAAGGGGTAGCAGTAATGTTGAAGGATCAGTTATGGAAGGAGAAAAGAGAATATGAATGTGTAAATTCAAGAATTATGTGGATTAAAGTAAAGGTTGGATGCGAAAAGCGGGTCATAATAAGCGTGTATGCACCTGGAGAAGAGAGGAATGTAGAGGAGAGAGAGAGATTTTAGGAGATGTTAAGTGAATGTATAGGAGCCTTTGAACCAAGTGAGAGAGTCATTGTGGTAGGGATCTGAATGCTAAAGTAGGAGAAACTTTTAGAGAGGGTGTGGTAGGTAAGTTTGGGGTGCCAGGTGTAAATGATAATGGAAGCCCTTTGATTGAACTTTGTATAGAAAGGGGTTTAGTTATAGGTAATACATATTTTAAGAAAAAGAGGATAAATAAGTATACAAGATATGATGTAGGGCGAAATGACAGTAGTTTGTTGGATTATGTATTGGTAGATAAAAGACTGTTGAGTAGACTTCAGGATGTACATGTTTATAGAGGGGCCACAGATATATCAGATCACTTTGTAGTTGTAGCTACACTGAGAGTAAAAGGTAGATGGGATACAAGGAGAATAGAAGCATCAGGGAAGAGAGAGGTGAAGGTTTATAAACTAAAAGAGGAGGCAGTTAGGGTAAGATATAAACAGCTATTGGAGGATAGATGGGCTAATGAGAGCATAGGAAATGGGATCGAAGAGGTTTGTGGTTACAGGAAAGTGGGTGTGGGAGGGAAGAGGAGCGATTGGTGGAATGATGATGTAAAGAGAGTAGTAAGGGAGAAAAAGATAGCATATGAGAAGTTTTTACAAAGTAGAAGTGATGCAAGGAGGGAAGAGTATATGGAGAAAAAGAGAGAGGTTAAGAGAGTGGTGAAGCAATGTAAAAAGAGAGCAAATGAGAGAGTGGGTGAGATGTTATCAACAAATTTTGTTGAAAATAAGAAAAAGTTTTGGAGTGAGATTAACAAGTTAAGGAAGCCTAGAGAACAAATGGATTTGTCAGTTAAAAATAGGAGAGGAGAGTTATTAAATGGAGAGTTAGAGGTATTGGGAAGATGCAGGGAATATTTTGAGGAATTGTTAAATGTTGATGAAGATAGGGAAGCTGTGATTTCGTGTATAGGGCAAGGATGAATAACATCTTGTAGGAGTGAGGAAGAGCCAGTTGTGAGTGTGGGGGAAGTTCGTGAGGCAGTAGGTAAAATGAAAGGGGGTAAGGCAGCTGGGATTGATGGGATAAAGATAGAAATGTTAAAAGCAGGTGGGGATATAGTTTTGGAGTGGTTGGTGCAATTATTTAATAAATGTATGGGGTAAGGTACCTAGGGATTGGCAGAGAGCATGCATAGTTCCTTTGTATAAAGGCAAAGGAGACAAAAGAGAGTGCAAAAATTATAGGGGGATAAGTCTGTTGAGTATACCTGGTAAAGTGTATGGTAGAGTTATTATCGAAAGAATTAAGAGTAAGACTGAGAATAGGATAGCAGATGAACAAGGAGGCTTTAGGAAAGGTAGGGGGTGTGTGGACCAGGTGCTTACAGTGAAACATATAAGTGAACAGTATTTAGATAAGGCTAAAGAGGTCTTTGTGGCATTTATGGATTTGGAAAAGGCGTATGACAGGGTGGATAGGGGGGCAATGTGGCAGATGTTGCAGGTGTATGGTGTAGGAGGTAGGTTACTGAAAGCAGTGAAGAGTTATTATGAGGATAGTGAGGCTCAAGTTAGAGTATGTAGGAAAGAGGGAAATTATTTCCCAGTAAAAGTAGGCCTTAGACAAGGATGTGTGATGTCACCATGGAAAAAAAGGTTGGAGGGAGGGGGTAAAGGAGGTTTTGTGTGTGAGGGGCTTGGACTTCCAGCAGGCATGCATGAGCGTGTTTGATAGGAGTGAATGGAGACAAATGGTTTTTAATACTTGACGTGCTGTTGGAGTGTGAGCAAAGTAACATTTATGAAGGGGTTCAGGGAAACCGGCAGGCCGGACTTGAGTCCTGGAGATGGGAAGTACAGTGCCTGCACTCTGAAGGAGGGGTGTTAATGTTGCAGTTTAAAAACTGTAGTGTAAAGCACCCTTCTGGCAAGACAGTGATGGAGTGAATGATGGTGAAAGTTTTTCTTTTTCGGGCCACCCTGCCTTGGTGGGAATCGGCCAGTGTGATAAAAAAAAAAAATTGCCCTTAAGACAGGACATCTCCACTGCCTCCAACTGCCTCCTCGCTGCAGCATTTACAACCCAAGCTTCACATCCATTAAGAGTGTTGGTACTATTATACTTTCATACATTCCCTTCTTTGCCTCCACAGATAGCATTATTTTGCCTCCACATATACCTCAATCCATCACTCACCTTTTTTCCTTCATCAATTCTATGATTAACCTCATCCTTCATAAATCCATCTGCTGACATGTCAAACTCTCAAATATCTGAAAACATTCACTTATTCCATACTCCTCCCCCCCAATTTGACATCCAATTTTTCTTTATCTAACTCATTTGATACTCTCATCACTTTACTCTTTTCTATGTTCACTTTCAACTTTCTACCTTCACGCACACTCCCAAATTCGTCCACTAACCTTTGCAATTTTTCTTTAGACACTCTCATAAGCACAGCATCATCAGCAAAAAGTAATTTTGTCACTTCACATTTTGTATTTAATTCCCCATAATTTAATCCCACCCCTCTCCCGAACACCCTAGCATTTACTTCTTTTACAACCCCACCTATAAATACATTAAACAACCATGGAGACATTACAAATCCTTGTCTAAGACCTACTTTTACCAGGAAGTAGTCTCCCTCCCTTCTACACACCCCAACCTGAGCCTCACTATCCTCATAAAAGCTCTTTACAGCATTTAGTAACTTACCACCTATTCCATATACTTGCAAAATCTGCCACATTGCTTCCCTATCCACTCTATCATATGCCTTTTCTAAATCCATAAATGCAATAAAAACTTCCCTAATGTATGCACACATCTTCCTTATTTGGATATTTGCTAAAAGTTGTTTTTTTACAACCTAGTGAGCCAACTGTATAAAAACTGCATCAACCCCATCATAAAGAAGTTTGAATTTGGGACAAATGACTTGCCACCCTTTATAAAATTCAATGACACTGTTACCACACTAAATTAAATTAGGAAAATCTTATGCCATCTACAACAGTGGTACAGTCTATTTCTGGCCTTACCTTCACAATAATGATGCATAAATTCTTTGAATTAGAAATAGTAACTTAGTGATACCTTTCAATACGCTCAACTATAAGAACAGGCATAATATAAACAAAGCAACCTCTATTATTTAGCTACTGTACATAGTGCAATTTTTTGCAAATGCAATTAAAAAAATTGCATCTAAAATTGCTATTTAATTTTGGAGGTACTTTTCTAATTGCATTTACATAAAATCACCCTACAGAGAGGAGCTCTATAAACAATAGAAATACCAAAAAATCAACAAAAGGCCTTACCCGGCCATCTCCCTTAGGGTTGATGAAGACAACATAGTGACCTCCATGATTATCTCCTGAATGAACCAGAACTGCATGAAGAACATAAGTGGCTGGTGTAGTGTCGGGTTTCTGCAGGAACTGGTCCATGTTTAACTTCTCTGGGAATTCGTATCTGAAAAAAGGTATCATTTTTTTTAAACTCTTTCCATATATTTAAAGTTAACAATTACCAGGGTACTGTAGTCAGTCAAATGTTGGCTTGTCCTATTTTAGATGTTTAATAACTATTTAGGCAACAGTTTGGTTGACAATATACAAACGTGTACGTGTATTTGCATTTTAAGAAATAGTGTTCCATTAGTAAAAAGTTTTAAGAGATGCATCAAAATTAATTCCTGAATACACTGAAACACTCCACTTTTTAGGCATGAGAAATGACCAGAAATTTAATATTTTTCAAAACTAATAGAAGATACAACAAAGTCTCAAAATTTAAAATGAATGAAGTAGGAATTTGTCTGAAGACAAGACTTAAAATTTTTAAAATAAATAAATAGAGCATGGAAGGAGTGGGTAAAGGAGGTTTTGTGGGCAAGGGGCCTGGACTTCCAGCAAGTGTGTATGAGTGTGTTAGATAGGAGTAAATGGAGACGAATAGTTATTAGGGCCTGACAAACTGTTGGAGTGTGAGAAGGGTAATATTTTGTGAAGGGATTCAGGGAAACCGGATAGCCAGACTTGAGTCCTGAAAATGGGAAGTACAATGCTTGCACTTTGACCCTTAAACTGTCCAAACCTAGATCTACATCCACATGCAGGGGCTCTGAACATAGATCTACTTTTTTTTTTTACATGCTTTCAAATGGGGAAAATCAAGGTCGGAGCGCTACGCACGTGAAAGTAGATCTACGTTTGGACAGTTTAAGGGTTATTAAAGGAGGGGTTTGGGATACTGGTAGTTTGGAGGGACATCTAAACTGTCGTATCTAGGTGCCTCTGCAAAGACAGTGATTATGTATGAGTGATGGTGAAAGCGTTGAATGATGGCGAAAGTTTATTTTTCTTTCTTTTTGGGTCGCCCTGCCTTGGTGGGTAACGGCCAAAGTGTTAAAAAAAATACATAAAAAATATATTAAAGACAAAATACAAAGAATTAAGGATGACAAAATTACTTTAGTGGAGCAAGAAATAAGTGAGGAACTAAACAGAAAGTTACACAATTTAAAAAAAAAAAAAATGACAGTATTTAAAATCAAAAGCAGATAACCGAGTCATTAGATACTGAAATAACTAGAAGAGGTAGTAAAGGAATTATTACTGGGTTATACTCGAGTTCAAACAGTATGCTCAAAAAATTTTCAACATCAAAATATTTGAAATCAAATGATGACACCTGACAATTTATGACAATTAGGCAATGTAAACACTTTTCTCCGAAAGTATTTATTTTTTTAACCACTACTCAATTCCCATCATGGATTTGGTAGACTACTGCCAGGATTTTTGTTTTTAATATTAGGGTTAAAGATTCACCTAACCTTTTATATATTAAATGATACAAAAACAAATATACAATAGAGAAAAACAGAGAATAGAAAGAGAAGCAGCATGTATATCCTTACCTGTCATTTATTTTGACATTAGAATCTGTGATGGGGTCGTACTGGAATCTCATAAGGTGAAGATGCAGCACAGGTGGAAAGCTCTGGAATATGACACCCTTGTCTGCCTCCTGTAGGCCATGCTCACCAGCATCATATTTATTGTCACCTTCCAATGTTTCTACACTGACGTAATCCTTAAACGATTCATATACTGTGGGAAAATGACCATCATAAACTACATAAATACATAAAAATTACAGAAACAAAAATAAAAATCAGCCTACTGCACAGACAATAAACATGATCAATAATGATAAAGTATTTTTAACAACAGCACATGTTAAACACTGAGTACAATATTGTGGACATCCTGCATAAACAATAAAGTTGTAATTATGGAATTCAAAGTCTCAATAGTCTATGGAAAGTAACGAATATGAAGAATGTTCAGTTAAAACAATATTGTTTAATGTTTTAACTAAACATACAATACAATACTTTCCTTTTCTCAGAAACCTGTACTTACTGTCTTTCTTTCCTTTTATATTTAGCTGGATATCATAAAAGGTCTCTGTTCTTGAAGAAGTGTAGTCTACATGTTTACACTTGAAGTAAGACTGGAAAAGAAGCAATCACTACTTACTACAACAATAAATATTTTATGAATACATTTTACAAACATTTATATCATGGAGCAAACTAAAAAGAATTCCAATAAAGTATTACAGTCAGTCTTACATCAGTATTTTGCATGAGACTTCATCCACATCTAAGGATCAGTACTTACCACAGTCTTGCCTTCAAATAACCTTGGAATTACTCCCTCAACGCAGGTACTCTTCATTTTGGTTTCTAATTTGTCTAAGAGCTGAAAAAGAGAAAAAAAAAAATACTTTTACCTTTACTTTTACTTTTCTGACCAGCTTGGTTAAGAGCAAATATGATTTTGTCCAATGGAAATTTTCAGTGGTCAGCAATGAAGCCCACTTTGATACCTTTATATAGTATTCGATATGCATTAAAATTACTTATTTAAAATTGCTTGGTGCCTGTTAGCTGTATACAATGACTACTAAATCTCTTCTCTCTCTCTCTCTCTCTCTCTCTCTCTCACCCATTCCTGTTCAACAACAAAAGGGCAGATCCAGTATTTCTTTATGAACTGTGGTGGTGGTATGGTTGCTAGGGTCTTCAGCTTCCCTGTGAGGGGCTGCATGGGGCACTATCTAATAGGAAGACTGTGTACCTTTCATAAATTTTGTCATTTGAAATTTTTATCTACTCTTAAGTTTTTTCCTTTTCCACATCTTTCTTGTCAGTCCACCTAAGTGCAGCCTCTCCTCACTTAGTGACGTACTCGTTTACCGACAACTCGGACTCACAATGGGATCTCTGACCAGTGCATACCTAAATAATGTACAGTGGACCCCGCATACCGTAAAGCATCGCATACCGTTCAATCCGCATACCGCTCGCTTTTATCGCAAAAAATTTTGCCTCGCATACCGCCCAAAAAAACCCCCCCCACCGCTCTTCGTCCGGACGCGTCCAATGTGCGCCCTTAGCCAGCCTCACATGTGCCGCCGGTGGCCCTTGTTTACCAGCCAGCCTCCGCGGTAACATCCAAGCATACAATCGGAACATTTCGTAATATTACAGGGGTTTTTGGTGATTTTTTCTGGAAAATAAGTGACCATGGGCCCCAAGAAAGCTTCTAGTGCCAACCCTACAGCAATAAGGGTGAGAATTACTATAGAGATGAAGAAAAAGATCATTGATAAGTAGAAAGTGGAGTGCGTGTCTCCGAGCTGGCCAGGTTGTATAATAAACCCAACAACCATCGCTACTATTGGTGGTACAGCTGCTGCTGCTGTTGTACCACCGTCAGCTGCTGCTGCTGTAGTACCATCTGCTGCTGCTGCTGTAAATACCGTCTGCTGCTGCTTTAGCATCGTCTGCTGCTTTCTGTGCACTGTCAGCTGCTGCTGCGTTGTACCACCCGTCAGCTGCTGCTGCTCTGTAGTACCGTCTGCTGCTGCTGTAGTACCGTCTGCTGCTGCTGTAGCATCTCTGCTTTCTGCTGTATCACTGTCAGCTGCTGCTGCTGTAGCATGTCTGCTGCTGCTGTATCACTGTCAGCTGCTGCTGCTGTAGCACCGTTGTTGGTGTGGCTTACTGAGAATACCAAGAAACAATTAACCCCAGAGGATTTGCCACCCAGGATAACCCAAAAAAGTCAGTGTCATCGAAGACTGTCTAACTTATTTCCATTGGGGTCCTTAATCTTGTCTCCCAGGGTGCAACCACACCAGTCGACTAACACCCAGGTGAACAGGGAAAAATGCCTGGAACTAGTGCTCATATTGGTGAATTTAAAGCAGCAAAGGTTGGTTTGAGAGTTTTAAGAATCGTAGTGGCATACACAGTGTGATAAGGCCTGTTCTGGAAGAAAATGCCAAACAGGACCTACAGTACTCAGGAGGAAAAGGCACTCCCAGGACACAGTGTCTCATCAGTCATTGCTGCATCTTCAATAAAGGTAAGTGTCATTTATTCTTCATTTAGTAGAGTAGTACATGTACAATATATATTGTGCATGTATACTTACTATTGTGCATGTATCCTTCTCTTTGTGTGTAGGAAATGTATATTTCATGTGGTAAAAATTTTTTTTCATACTTTTGGGTGTCTTGCACGGATTAATTTGATTTCCATTATTTCTTATGGGGAAAATTCATTCGCATACCGATCATTTCGCATAACAATCAGCCCTCTTGCATGGATTAAATTCGCTATGTGGGGGTCCACTGTATATTAACCCTTTCAGGGTCCGTCCCGTAGATCTACGGCTTTACGGTGAGTGTCCAAACCGTAGATCTACGCCATGAGCTCAGCTCACTCTGATAAACTGTGAGTGGTACATTTGGGCCTAGATATGAGAGAATACATCTATGTGGTATGTGTGCACCACATAAAACAGATCCTGCAGCACACTGTGTATAATGAGAGAAAAAAACTGAAATCATGATTTTTCGATTAAAACAGCAACTTTGCAGTGTTTTTTCGTATGTTTTTTATAGTTGTATTTGGGATTTCTTGGTCTCATTTGATAGAATGGAAGACATATTACAGAAATAGAGATGATTTTGATTGGTTTAAGCACTGGAAATGGCTTGAAACTGAGCTCAAAATAGCGGAAATGTTAAATTTTTGCCGATATTCAAGAGTAAACAAACGACCTCACACATCGAATACACGCCAGCTGGTGGGTCTAATATACATTCACAAATATGGTGATGATATTTATACAATTATTACAGTATTGCATAACAGTAAATCTTCTATTTTTTGGTGTGAATAAAAATTCATTATGTGAATAAAAAATCAAAATGGAATTTATTTGTAAAGCCTCAAAACATAACTAATGAAAAGAGGAAATGTTAGTTTAGTGCCAGGAAGGGCCTACATTGTTTATTCTGGACCCTATTTTGAAATTGGAATATTTTGAACTTTGTGTTAAATTGGCCAAATTAACAATTTCCGATCACTTTATTTTGTAGTTGAAACAGTTGACTTGGCGATTTCTTGTGCTCAATCGATAGAATAGAAGTAATACTAGTGAAATAGCTAAGAATTTGGTTGATTGGAATAATGTAATTGGCCTAAAATGGGAGTCAAAGTCAGCAAAATCGCCGATTCGTAAATATCGCTGACACATCAAAATTCGCGAGAGCATAATTTCGTCAATTTTCCACCAAATTTCGTACTTTTTGTTTTATTACCTTCACAAAAAGATTCTCTACGATTTCATAAGAAAAATTAAAAAATTTTTTTTTTGAAAATTCTTGGACACTGGTGCGTGACTCCAGATTTGGGCCTTGGACCCTGAAAGGGTTAAAGCTAATTTCCTCTATTCTGTTTATTACAATATATGGTACACTACTATATTAACATTTAAAAATATACAGGAAGGCCCCGCTTTACGGCGTTTCACTTTACGGCGTTCCGCTAATACGGACATTTCAAATTATGACCAAAACTCGCTATATGGCTCCCCCCACCTGACTTTCTAATACGGTCACCGTGCCCCACCCTGTTTGTTAACATTCTCCATGAGCTCAGTAAGCACTAAGTCTCTCCATTTTGTCTGGAAACTCCAAAATTTCAAATGTTTTTAAAAGTTATTTCATATTTTATATATACTCTGATAATTATACTTATGTATACCTGTACCTAAATAAACTTACATACATCGAGTCATTTAAATGTCGTATATTACGTTAATATACACATTTTCATTAATCCATCCATGATATTTTTTTCAAAATTATATAATAAACACGATGCATAACATATAAATAAGATAAATACACCCCACAGTAGAATAAATAAACAAATGTGAGATGTGAGCAGACGACTTGCACAAGTGGTGATAATAACAATACTGAGTCTCATTAAATGTCGTATATTACGGTAATATACACATTTTCATTAATCCATCCATGATATTTTTTTCAAAATTATATAATAAACACGATGCATAACATATAAATAAGATAAATACACCCCACAGTAGAATAAATAAACATAAATGTGATCTGTGGTAGCAGACGACTTCCACAAGTGACGCCATAATAACAATAGTCACGGAGTCTCATTAAATGTCGTATATTACGGTAATATACACATTTTTCATTAATCCATCCATGATATTTTTTTCAAAATTATATAATAAACACGATGCATAACATATAAATAAGATAAATACACCCCACAGTAGAATAAATAAACAAATGTGAGATGTGAGCAGACGACTTGCACAAGTGGTGATAATAACAATACTGAATCTCATTAAATGTCGTATATTACGGTAATATACACATTTTCATTAATCCATCCATGATATTTTTTTCAAAATTATATAATAAACACGATGCATAACATATAAATAAGATAAATACCCCCCCACAGTAGAATAAATAAACATAAATGTGATCTGTGGTAGCAGACGACTTCCACAAGTGACGCCATAATAACAATAGTCACGGAGTCTCATTAAATGTCGTATATTACGGTAATATACACATTTTCATTAATCCATCCATGATATTTTTTTCAAAATTATATAATAAACACGATGCATAACATATAAATAAGATAAATACACCCCACAGTAGAATAAATAAACAAATGTGAGATGTGAGCAGACGACTTGCACAAGTGGTGATAATAACAATACTGAGTCTCATTAAATGTCGTATATTACGGTAATATACAAAATTTTCATTAATCCATCCATGATATTTTTTTCAAAATTATATAATAAACACGATGCATAACATATAAATAAGATAAATACACCCCACAGTAGAATAAATAAACATAAATGTGATCTGTGGGTAGCAGGACGACTTCCACAAGTGGTGATAATAACAATAGTCACGGAGTCTCATTAAATGTCGTATATTACGGTAATATACACATTTTCATTAATCCAAACCATGATATTTTTTTCAAAATTATATAATAAACACGATACATAACATAAAAAGATGATAAATACACCCCACAATAGAATAAATAAACATAAATATAAGATGTGGGAGCCTGGTTTGTTTACTCTGTGCCTGGCCTGTCACCTCTCATGTACTCATTCTTTCTCTCTCTCATTTATTCATTTTATCTCATTTACTTAATCCTGACCCTACATTAAGACTACAAATTTTTAAGGTAAGTAATGAGTGAACTGTATATACATTTTATCGCTCTGGGATGCTTAATATCATAGAATAGTATGTGTGGGTGGGGTGGCCTGGTGAAATAGCCTGGCTATTACAATACATACACACTTGATTTCTTACAATAAAT